CTTCTGCTGCGACTCCTGTCACGGCCCCCACGACTCCGACTGCGTGAATGGCTTCTACTTCTGCTGTGGCTACGGGAACGACTGCGACCCCCAAATCCTCGTGCTCCTCGATCTCTATCCCTGTCACGGTCCCTCTCCCTGTCTCGATCCCTGCCTCTCCATCTGTTTCTCCCTGCAACCAGCCATGAGCTCAAAATAATACTGTAAAAATGACTGCAACCACCTAACAATTATGGCAAATGGTCATCTATTCAGCAATGGCAAAAAATACCTTCCAGTTAATTATCAGTACACAAAGTAAACTAGTAGCATGACATTTAAACTTTGTGAGCAGGCACATGTTTTTGCACTAAAATCTGTTTAAGAAGAATGACAAGATCTCTGTGTCATGCATTACCTCTCCCACCAAGCCCTTTAGAAACTTCTGCCATCTCATACAACTTGGGATTTATAACTTGGTTTGCCTCTCGAAGAACAGCAACTAGGTCAGAGGCTTGCCTGGCATTGCCAGGTGTGAAGAATGTGTAGGCTGTACCAGTACGTTGAGAGCGACCAGTACGTCCAATACGGTGCACATAATCCTCTGAACTTGATGGGTAGTCAAAGTTTATGACAAATTTGACATCTTCCACATCTGCAACAGTTCATCCCTCAAATTAAAAGAAAAGAGTACACACTAAGAACATAAAATTTAATTTCACAAGGTTATTAATAAAATAATCAGTTTAAAGACTACCTACAAAACTAAAAATTTAATTGTCAACATTAATGAAAAACTCAAATTGTATTTCACTAAATAAAAACGTCAGCATGAAACTTAAAGCCCTGTAATAGAAAATGTCAAGTTAAGTACAGTCCTAACAACAGTTGGCATTACCTGACTAACACATCTAGGAACAGTCAGTGAGGCAGGTCTCAGGTGCACACTCCACGCAAACCTTGCAAATTTCCCAATTGCCCTACGAGGAATTTCCCTCCTATCCATCTAAATTCCAAACGGATGCCGCAACTCACGTTCAGAGCATGCACCTGGCCATCCCCAACACGTTCCACACAGCCTTCATATGCGTGCCAATCGCCCAGCACACAGGCGGAGCACGCTACTGACCCGGTGGGCCCGAGACACGGCGGAGAACAGCCGACAGACGGGCCCCCGGGTGGGCAAGCGGTTAGGTCCAGTCGGGCCCCCACCGTCACCGCACCCGAAATCCCGACACATGTGGCTAACTCTCACCGGCCTACCGGAGAGTAACCAACCATTCGCAGAGAGGCACAGCCTGAACGACAATGCAAACCACCTTTTGCATTATCTCGCATGTGCCTCTGTAAGAAAAAGAAAAGAATCGGGCTTGTTAATAGGTGTGATAACTTCTGCTCCAGTCATCTCACTTCAAACATGACATATTTCTTTCCTGAAACACATTTCATGTGAATCCAAGCCCAAGAAGCAGTTTTCAATCTGAAGAAAGAAACAGAATTCTAAGTGCTCAATTTGTTTTCTTTCATATGAAGCTTAGTAGAGTGAAAAATACAATGTATAACAAATAACTGGACTGACATTGTGCAGCATTTGATAACACTGGTGACTGGTGTTTCATAGTCATTGTATATTGGGAAAAATATGAAGTATAACATACTGATGTTCTTATGCAGCAAGTGAAATATTATACTGAGCTGGTATTAGATCACATGACTACAAAAACATTTAGGACAGAGAGATCACTGAAGAACATGTACGTCTTTGCAAAATGACACTCAAATATCATGGGGGCTTGGCAGATGGAGGCAAGGAAATACCCCTGGCTCAGTTTTTTTTTTTTTTTTTGGGGGGGGGGGGGGATCTGTCTGCACATTTAAAGCTTCCTCGAAAATTGTATACAAAAGTTATACAAGACCTGTAAAACTTACGTATTTAATGTTTGAAAACACAGTTGAAATTAATTATGTAGGAGAGAAAAATATGACTAGTGATGAGTACTGGGTCTTCCAGTACAGCCCAGAAACAAAGATCAACTTCAACAGACAAAAGCAGTCTTAAAAAAAAATTTGTCTTTCTGATAAGACAGAAAATATCCATTACAAACCTCTTCTTCCAAAACTGTTGACCACATTTTCCAATAATAAATTTTGAAAATTTCTCCAGCACATCTGCCCATAAACAATAAAACATATAAGACAAACTGATTTTGCATGATTGCACTTTCTGACTCAAGAGAACATCCATCATAATTACCATATTTGCGTTCATATTTCCACAACCAAAAATCTTTTTGAAAGGCCCCCCACATTTTGAGTCCCTTGAAGATGTTCAGTTATAACAGTATTAAAAGGGCGCCTAGAAAATAATTTACAGTGGTATTTACATGGGTGACAAATACAGAATGTGTATCAAATTAGATGGTAATTATTTTTAAAAGGCAACCACACTCACTATAGATTGATTTTACAGAAACAGTCCAGTTATAACTGTCAGACATTGCACATGGTTTATTTTGAGAACAGATGTTGAATAGGGTGTTATAACAGTAATAAGAAAAAGAAATATTGTTAGAGAGAATGAAAGGTGGAACATATTTTGTAAGTTATTTTGGAGACAATTTATTTTTACTGATAGACAAATTACAGGATCAGACAAAAATGAGATAAATGAACAGAGAATTTAAAAAAGACAAATCAAAAGACAGGTGCTAGCAGGGTAATAACTAATCATTCATTTAGCAATAAATTCAGGTTAGCAGATTCTGCTGTTAGATGATAAGCACATTACATTTTGTATTGTTCAACAAGTAAAATCATACCTACTGCATCAGAATTTCAGAACTTCTTGATCAAGATATGACACAGCAGAATATGATCATGAAGGTTAACAGTAATACCATAAAAAATGCTGATGTTACATCTTGGATTCACATGAACAAATCAAACCACATTTGCTACCTAAAAAGACACAGACACTTCAATCTTTCTCACACACATTATTAAACAATGTTACGTGTGCAGTCACACTGGTGACACATATGCAATGTGCATATTTGCTTATGGAATGAATACATAATTTTTGGTCCCCATTTTGAAAGCAAAGTATTTATTATTTTTTATTATTATTTTATTATTATATTATTTATTTATTTGAAGATGTTTGCAAAAATTAAAATTAACAAATTAGATAATCCCCGTCCACCAACAAAGATAATTTCTTTTATAAACATGGAAAAGAAAAAATAAACAAATTTGTTTATTAGGAATGGACAATATATCTTAAATATTAAAAATTCACATACCTGTAACATTTCTGAATCAAATTTCTGTATTTCACTTTTAAAATGATAAGAACATTGAATTGAATTTCAAACACAGACTCTTTCAGCTTTCTCAAAGCTAGATTCAAACAGGAAATGCAATGAGCATTGTTTTTTATTATCTTTATATGATGCAATGTTATTACTTGTATATTTGAGGTCAGTGATTTTTTCAAAATAAACCATAAAACCTGACTCACCTGTGAAAGGAATATTACAATAATTTAACTCTGCTGCATAAATAGTTGTTCAGTCCCAGAGTTGTTTTCTTTAACAGTTTATTCACAGTACAACATTGCAAATAACCAAATAAAGGGGGTAATCCTGAAGTCATGCTGATGTCACTTGTAAACTTAAACGGTTTTCAAGACAGCAGGGTTAGAAAGACAACTGAAACCACAACACTAGAGGAATTTCACTTTTAAGTTAGCAGCATTAAGATTACTTTGACAGTTATATATGAACCCTAAACTGGAAAGAAATCTTAGGTGAGGAACATCCAAATCTGAAATTTTAATCATAAGCAAAAGAAAGCAAACTTTAACCACTGGAAATGAACAACAAAGACTTTAAACATTATGGCAACATATGCAACTTGTATCAGTGTGATGTAATGTCACATCATAAAAAATATACAATAATCATAAGGAAAGTCTAAGAACAGGATGAATTGTTTATTTTCATCTTGAATTTATTGTAGATGAAGACTCTAATGGAAAGAAAAATTGACTTATAACAAATAATCATTGTAGCAAGTTTACAGCCTCAAACATGTAAATCACTTAAAAAACTGAACAGTGAATGTGTATGATTATCTCTTTGTAACTGCATGAGTTTTTAAGGTAATAAGTTGCTATCTTCCACTTAAACTATGTGTTAATCACATTGCCAAATCTTAACTTCATACACACAGAAAAATGTCACGAGTTTTAGTAACATCAAATATTCTTCCAACACCAAGAACAAAAGTAGAAATAATCATCTATTTGGTACTAACCACCCAACAAACATAGAACTGAGGTTTGACAATGAAGTGCAATTTTATTCAGGACCAAATGAGAATTTATGCTGCTGACCAGCAATACAAATCTTGAAATGGAAACCATCATGCTACACTCTGTGCATAACACCCCACCATTAAGACCAAGTCTGCATGTGCCAGGAGCTAATCTACTCACAAACTACAGCTATAACTATTCATGTGAGAAATAAAATGGCATGCATAATACAAAGTCATGTTCATTTGAAAAGTAGTAACTGGTTTGGTAGAGGGTGTGGAACAGCCAGAGTTGGACCTACACAAAGCCAAATGGTGCAAATTCAAGCCACACACTTCCACGGGGAAAAGACAAGAGCATATGTACTGAGACATTTCATGACATTTTACTTCTCCTTCCATCCATAAGCCGACACAAAAATGCTGTTAGTAGCAGCACTCATCTGACTCAAATGAAGTCCTATTATTAAAGCTGAAGAATACCAGTATGCTTAACAAAATTAGAATTGACAACGCATAAAACATTTTTGTTGAAACTCATCATAGGCCATACTTGATGCATTCAACTACTTCAAGTTTACTACCAAAAGGTTTCAATAAGCCTTTCCAAATCCCACTTATGTCAAATATGAAAACCAGAAACAAATTTTTGTGACAGCTATATTCTATATGTATAGCATAAGCACACATTTAGTAACTTCAGATTTAAATTCCTTCCATTTAAAGTTTTCTGTCAGTTCAGTGTTCACCATCCACTGTCCCTTTTAGATTGTTCATACACAATTATCTGGTATACTTTTATGTATTATACAAGCAAATACAATGTCTCATAACTGAATGACACAAACCTACCTAGACCACGTGCAGCAACATCTGTTGCCACAAGAATTGGGGACTTGCCTGATCGAAATTCTGCAACAAAACATTACACATTTTTGTAGTTCATGAAGCACAAAAAAGGAAAGAAAATTACTCTGCATTTTCCACTGACCCTTAATGAGTAACAAAGAATTAGTGATATATGTCATTCTTCCCTTATAATTACAAAAAAATAAGTTTAAGTTGGTGTAAATGATGTAATCAAACTCTTATTATGAGACTATTTTGATGCAGTGTGCTATAGAATCAAATGAGTCTACATTAGTTTGAAGCAAACTATATATGTAAACTTACAGACAGAAATAATACCAATATATATAACAGCTCAAACAGAATGCTGCAATTGTTTAAAGACACCTTTCACATCAGCTATTCTCATGGTAATTTGTAACTTCTACTGCTAAGAGGCCATGTTCAGTGGTAAGAGACAGAAGGATGCTTACTTTGCTAATCTCCAGAAACACCAAATAAATCTAATCTGCAAGGGTTAATGTTTTTAAGCACAAGAACATTGAAAGTGTTCACATCCACAGCAAATAAAATGGATGTATTATTAGATTTGCAGACTCAAAGAAGAAGAATGGAACAAATCAGCTACAAACATCACTCTTGTAAGAAATGTCCATAATACCACTACACAATTTTGCCATATTTCAAGGATTATTTTCAGTACAGTTTATTTCTTATATATTCTGATGACAAGTTATACTACACACATACTTTTACTGGCTTTTGAGAAGACTTAAATGCATAGCTGTACAAGGGATCTCAGTTCTGAGGAGCCCCTCAACATTTGTATACCTCCCACAACCACAGTGACTCAGAATAAAGTTATTATGAGCCACACCAAGATGGAGGACGCACAGTCTTTACATATGCCCACAGCATCTTGCAGGCCAACCCTATTTCCATTAACTTAGTGTCAAAATTATTACATCTACTGCAAAGCTTCTGACAAAGATAAAAACAATACTTGAGTACTTACCTTGCAAAACCCAATCTCTTTCTGGCTGAGATTTGTCTCCGTGGATGCAGGCAGCTGGCCACCTGTAGAAAAAGTGCATTAACTGGGTTTTCCAGAAAGTTATAAAGCTTCACTGTGAATAATCATTATCCATGTAACAATAATCACAAATTAAGCGTAAAAAACAAATATAAAAGACCTGATTAATTATGCCATTTCAAACAGCTTATACAGCACCAAATGAGATGGGAATATTGTAACTAATCAAGTATTTGGAAGAAGACATCTGAAGCTTATTTAAAAGCATTACAGTCCATTTACACATTCCCAGTTAGTGTCAGGGCTGTCTAGGAAGTGTTTAACAATTTAATATTCTCAGAGTATAAATGCTAATGTTTACACATATCCAGATCTGTGATTTCTAGTTGGCTTCAGCATCAATACCAGGTTTTAAAAAAATTGTTAAAATAACAACAAACCCATTTGCATCTGTGCTTATTAGCTTCCTGTTCATCTAGAAGCAAAGCAATAATAGCCAATTATTCAACAGGAAGTGCAGTCAGTCATGTTCATACTATATAGCCACTATCACACAGTTTTGACTCAATCCTCAGTAACAGCATTGATACAGCCCTGAAAAAAGCATATCATCTTTGTACAGTGCACAGATGGTTTTTACATGGACTGAATATAATAGACCTTTATCCTCACATTCACCTGTAGGAATGAGTGCAACAAAATTATGTCATTGCATCTAGTAACCTGACCAAATATAAGAATCTACAGCATTATCTCTACACCATCCTGCTCTGTAGATGGGGGGAGGAGACAAGAAGCAAAGGAAGATGACTGAAAGAAGGAAAAATGGAAATGATTATCACTCATCATCAGGCTCTTACCCATCCCTGCGCATTTTTCGGGTGATTTCATCCACTCTCCTTTTTGTCTCAATAAACACAATGCTCTTGTTCTCTTTCTCTGCCATTATTTCTTTCAACAATGTGCTAAGCCTGCAATTAAATGTAAACAAGAATGTACTTATATCACAAAGCAAAATTCAAAATTTCATTTAAAAGAAATTCTTTACAATGAGGGTGGAACCCACACTGAATAGACAGAACTGAAGGCATTATGTTCACCTCTTTCATGTACTTCCCACCAACATTAATGCTCCATGGAGAAATACAGCAGAGGCATGCCACAATAGTTTGAAAAAACCTTAAAAATCCTTGGATTTGAAAAATATGATGTCCAAAGTATACTTGATCCATGTTATGATACCACTGGCACTTCAACCCTATGATCACATAACTGATATGTGCATAACTACATGACTGCTCACATGCTTCAGTTTTCACCAAATGTCTCCACAAATGGACTGCAGCATATATGCATAACAGGAGCCATTTTATTTTAGATATAGTCTAGTGTGTTAGATTCCACAAGGCGTTACTCCATTTATGTCCTATAAAGAAATCTCTTAAAAGAGGATTTCACTGTATTACTACTATGAAATTACAATTAAATTATAAATTGGTTTCAAAATGAGAATCATGGCCTCATACACCCAGTGTTTCTCTGAATTTACAAAGATAAAATTCAGAAAGTTCTCACTGATCAATATGTAACACTTCACAGTAAACTGAATATTCAGCATATACTGTTAAAATTTAACCAACTCACTTTTGTTCCTTCTCATATTCCTGACATACATCAATGATCTGAAGAATATTGTGATTTGCAGAAAGTTGCAGTGACCCCACATTGATCTGGATGTAATCTTTCAGGAACTCTTCCGCCAGGTTGCGTACCTCTTTTGGCCATGTGGCAGACCACATCAGTGTCTGTCGATCTGGCTGAAATGTTGAGCACAAACGCATAGTATTCCTAACTCTCACAATAATATGAACAGAATACAGAACAGCATCATTGTATAATGTATTTCATTACATAATTCATACAATCTTTTTTAAAATTTCAGATACTTTTTTTTTCCATTTTTCAAGGAAATGGGCTAAGCACTACAAAAATGACAAAACCCTGCATGGAACTACTAAGTTAAAACTTTTTTATTTAAAGCCTGCACATATTTTGTAAACTTTACTACATTCCACAACATTTTCCAAAGTGCTGTTCAAACCATATAAAAGAATAATCAAATACACACATCTTTATATCTCTGGCATGGGTAAGTGTCTCATCTGTTGCTTTGCACAAGTTTATGCAGATCACATATAGGGTAACAGAAAAAGATTCTTGCAGAATTACTCTGAATACAATGTTTTCTCTCACTCACTCATGCTTTAAACTTATACCTGCTGCTACACTTTTCAGACTCTGGTAACAAAATGTTTGTCCTTCACAAGCAATAACAGAATATGGAAAATACATAAGGATTTAGTTCCTAAAAACTGTGGACCATGTCCTACATGATAAATTATTTCAAGGTATCACCAACAGATAATTGGCTTCATTAGTTACTTCAAGTATGACAAGATACAACAGAAAGCAGAAACTGCTGAGACACAGCCCCAACAAAGAAAACAAGAAACTCAATCTCAGAATTCTCAACAAAAGAAGTAAATGGTCAATATAACTCAGGAGGCTTTAAAAATAGAGCTAAAATGCTGCTGATGGTCTTATACCAACATTCTGAAGGAATGTATTACATCCATCTTCAGGATGACTCACAACTACCTACAAGAGCATATGACATCATCACACTCCAGAAGGCCACTGACATCTTCACCACTGCCCCAAATCTAACAAAGAGTTTGAAGTTCAATTATTCTATAAATTGAAGTTAATAAATATCACATTGTAGCTTTAAATCAAAATACTGTCTTTTTACTGATGTGTTGGAATTCTTTGTAAAGATGGTTTTAAAAGCTTCTTCAGTAATTTTATTCATCTGAAAATAACTTTGTGAATTTATGTCTTGTATATATCAGAAAAACTGCCTCACTTAACTGTGATAACACTCAAAACAATATTTTGTATCCCACTACTATTACAAGTCTCAGCCTAATTGTCAATCTTAAGCAGATTCTTCTTCTCAAAACTTATTTTCAGATGATATGACGAGATTTAGAATCAATCTACTGGAAATAACTGAATTTCTTTGTATAAGAGTACTTATTAGAAAAGAATATGGTATTATAAAAGATAGCTTTCAAAACATCACAGAATACTAACCCGAATTTGTTCAATAATCTTCCGAATCTGGGGTTCAAAGCCCATGTCCAACATCCTGTCTGCCTCATCCAAAACAAGGTATGTGCATCTCTTGAGATTCGTTTTACCACTCTCAAGGAAGTCAATGAGTCTCCCTGGTGTTGCTATGACTATTTCCACACCCCGTTCCAAATCCCGAGCCTGTGGACCTTTAGGAGCTCCTCCAAAAACACATGTGTTTTTGATTTGAGATGATGCACCAAAGTCATTTGCAACCTGTTGTATCTGCTGTGCCAACTCACGTGTTGGAGCAAGAATCAAAGCAATGGGGCCATCTCCTCGAACCAGGTGAGACTGGTTATTGATGTGTACAATAGCTGGGAGTGTGTACTGGGTGCAAAAGAAAATAAAGGGGGGATACACACCAGTCATTAAAAAAGCACAAAACAGCCATTCATGACACAACTTGGGCCATAAGCTCAGCATAGCGTATAAGACATACATATTGTATTTCATTATAACATTTGTCATCACTGCTTATATGACTGAAAATCTGTGTAAGAACAACATTCAATCCATACACAAAACATTAATGCTCCAACTACATGTGAAAATATTTCAATATCCAAGCTGCAACACCCATTCTGATTAAAATGCTGCTGGTATGCCATATTTTATTCTATAATAAGTGGACAGAAATGCCTTACAGAGACATGTCCACCAAACTGGCGGCCCTTACAAAAATAAATTTCCATGACATTTTTATTTCCATAAATGTATTCAAGAATAAGGTTCACAGAATTATATAACATTTCATAAAAAGTAACAGAAATGTAAACTTTTAACTCAATGAGTATTTGATTGGCACTACTGCTTGGTACATTTCATAAAACTAAAAATCAAATATTTAAATTGATAATGAAATTTATTGATCCTCAAGATACTCACAGACAAAGTCTTTCCAGAACCAGTCTGTGCAATGCCAACCATATCTCTACCACTGAGTGCAATTGGCCAACCTTGTGCTTGGATAGCTGTAGGTTCCTTGAATCCCAGTTTCCTACAGAAACAGACAGTTCAGCAAAATTGTATCATTATTACTGAAAGAGACTACTATGAAAACACTTTCCATTACCAATATTCAGCATACAGAAGAAGTATAATAAACTTTGGACAGTTTTAAATGTAATTTTAATAAAGAAATTAGAAGTGGTTTGTGAATTTGGTATTACACTAATTTATACATTTTTATCAACACTGCAACATATTTCCTTTTCCACTAAGGCTAATTCTTTTTAACATGTTAACATTTTAATTGCACTGCTCTGAAGTTAACACACAATAAACATTACAGTGTCCGATACCCCTGCCTACTTTATCTTTTCCTACACGAGAAATGTTCCATTATGATTTTAAAGTAGAAGAGGTTAATGATGCATTCTTCCGCACGTGACAATGACCATTTGTCTGTGAATCCCTCCCAAGTTTTGGAGTGTAAAATTCAAGAAAAACAACTTAGGTACAACAACCACTAGAAATACCTGATCTCCTTCATAACATAATCTGGAAAACCAGCTTCATCAAATGTCCAAACAGGATTAGGAATACTGCGTCCTTTGAGAGTAATTTCTTTCGAGCTCCTGTATTCCTCCACTTCGTGCTGTGGTTTGTTGGCAACATCCGGATGTGGAACATAGAAATCTTTTAAAAATGGCTGTAAGCGACTCAAATCCCAATGTGGTTTCCTAAGAGTACCACCTGGTTGTCGCCCTTTCATACTTCGGCCACTGCCACCACCTCTGCGATCATCACGGTAATGGTCCCTGCTGCGACTTCGGTCTCTTCTCCTGTCTCGGTCTCTGTAACTGTCCCTGTCACGATCACTGAAACATATTAGAGCAAAATCAGAACTATGAAACCATAATTGGAAATAAAGCATCAGTAACATATAAACCAGAATACAGAATGTTTATTTTTAAAACACAACCTGACTTCACAACATAATAAAATACCAACAATATTAATAATTTTGTTACAATATATGTTAAAACTGGTAGACCCTCTCCTTAACTGATACATCTGTTTCTGATTCAACACAGTAAGTCAAGGTCACACCAGTTGCACAAAAAACAGTCCAATAATTTAATAATGCTATTAGGTTATCCTCTCGTGCATGAAATCATGTGTAATGGTTACAGTTGCATTTTACATGAAACATTCTGTGTTACCAAGTTTCATTTGTAGGTGAGGTGACTGACTTCATCCACCATATAAATGAAGTTAATTAAATCTCCCAATTGCTCTAGCACACTACAAACAGAACTTGCTACATAGCTAAGTCCTACCAAGTTTTTGTGTGCAAGGTGTTTAGAAGTTTGGTTGTAAATACATTATTACTCTTCAGTTCACTTACTACAAACGTAAGTAACTTATTTATGGTAGTGAAACTTAAAACAATTCAAATCTCTACCAACTCCATGATGCACATTCCTTCTTGAGAGGCTACAGTAGCTCATCCAAAAACTTGCATCTTTTATGGTACCTGAAGGATAATTGTGTTCAGTAGTTCCAACCCTCAGCCACATGAATTCAGCCCCCCACCCTCCCACCAAATTTCCTAATAATCTTCTTTCAGGTAAGCATTAGCAAAGAACACCTTATGGGCCCATTCATGCCTCTCATTTTCTCTAAGAGGAACTAGGCAACTCGCATGACCCAGGGCCATAGATCACACTGTTGCAACAATGGGAATTTTAGTCATTGCTGAAAAAGTAACAGTGGGAACTAAGGCCACTGTTAGAACAGACTGTTGCATTATGGGAAATAAGGTCATTGTTAAAATAACCTTGGACACCAGTGTCATTAATTTCCTTCAAGCAAGAGTGCCACAAGTCCAATTCCTTTGTGTTATGGTTATCAACTAAGCGTCCTGTTGACATCACGGTGGTGTGTGAAGGACACCTTTGAAATTGCAATGTAACCAAAAGAGTACACTTTTCCAGTCTTCCAATATTACATACCTATTTACACCTAGGCATTCAAAGTAGTACCTTCCCTTTGGGCAACTCAAACTAAGTCATTTAAAGACTGTTTTAACAAGAATGGAATAGGCAAAATGAATATTAAAGAAGTATCAATGCAATATATAAATGATTAATGAAAAACCAGTATTACTTGGGAGCGGCTACTGCACAATCACAAAACTAAATAAAAATTAGTATCTGGCACCAACAGCTGAAAATTTCAGTGAAAAGGAAATCCTTGTTCACACAGCATGCCACTTGTATCTTGAACTGAGATTTCCAAAAAACAGGACACCACTAGAATATCTAAAGCAAAATGTTCCTGCTTCCAATCCTGTCCAACCAAGTACAAATGTATCCTGCAAATAGAGTATTCCTCTTTCCATACACGTCAAAAGATATGGCCTTTGTGAGAGAGTAAGAATTCAGGAATACCAGTCTTGGATGAGCATTACCAGTTACAGAAATGCTTTCTAGATTGCAACAAGTAGTCATGAATATGTGATATGCCCCCATAACAATGTCTTATGCTTGGGAATAACAGGTTAGATAAGTTACAGTTGGATCATTTCAGGTTCCATTACACTTTCTTATGTACAAGAGTGTTTAAATAAATTAGATGAATATAGTGTTTGTATACTTCCAATATATTTCAGAGCTACATACGATGCACAGAACACAACAGTATGGTATGCTTCAGTCACACACACTTTAATGTGTATTAGAATTCTCCTGTATTAAGGAAATAAAATTATAATTCTTAAACACAGGAGAAGAAAGTGAAAAGGTATGATTATACCTAGTGCCAAATGACAAGGAGTATCATGAGGCAAAAACTTGATATTTGTATAACTTGCCCCTACATTTGTGCAATATCCTTCTGTAGTAAGGTTTAATCGATTTCATTACCTTCATAAACAGTGCTTCAAGCGAGTATGGGAAGCACAATGGTGCAAGTACTTACACATTTATGTTCAACATTTCTTGTGTTTAATAAGACTGTATTCATCTCAGATTATACAGTGTCTAAAGATAGGGCAATTAATCTGAAACAAATGGGATAGGCTGTGGAAGGAAGCAGTCTTGGTCTCATTTAAGGTTTAATACAGCATTCATCTCGAGTAACTGAGGGAAAACACAAAAAACCTTAGGATATGAGACCTCCATGCTGAGATTTTAACCTGGGCCAAATGGTGAAATATTTTGTGATATCTCTCTACACAATACTCTTAGCAAGATGCATCAAATGGGATAAAGGAATATACATTCAGGCAATTTAAAATATTGAACAGTACAAGAACATTATTATTATTATTTATTCACTTTGTAGAACACCATACAATTCATGTAGGAAATGTCACAAAAATAACTGTAATATATCTAAGGCATTCAATTAAAAATATAATGATCATATATCTGGGGAATTAAAAAAAGTAAAATACATCTACAAAACAAAAGTATGGTATATCAAAACTATTTACTAAATATACAGTGAGATATTTTCAAGTGTCCTGCTAATTGCTGAATGTCTCAGGTAGAATAGTCTGGGGCTCCTTCCACTGCATGGCCTGCTAGTGGAACCAAAAAAACTTATAGCCAGAACACACTGAAAAACTTACCCTAAGTACAGCTGTTGCTGGAAATGCTCTCTGTCCTTCCACACAATTTCTGGCACCTCAGTTTCATGAGCTTCAGAGCAGCTCATGCTGGTGATTTTGAAACCCCAGTCTCCTGTGCAATGCACTTGAGGGACTGGTGATGAACATGTTCAAGCCTGCAGCAATTCATCCAATTTCTTTTCCAATGAGTACTCAGCATTTCAGTTCAGGTTTTTTGTCCAGTAAAAACTGTCTTTATTTATTTACAATTCTATGAATAGTTCTTCTGAGTAGAACTGTAACATCCTGAAATTTATGCCAGAATCTTCTCCTTACTTTTCTTGTACATCCAATTTTCACATAAGTATTGCATATGGACATTCACTGTTTTAATATGTATCTCACATTTGGAATTTCAACACAGAAAATAACATAACTGACTGAATAACTGCAGCACAGGTCAAGAACAGCTACAGGAGTTAAAGCAACATGGCACTTGCGACCCAGGATTTGGATGGTTTCTGTCATGTTTAAAGCAGAATTCTTTTTATGAGGTAAATGTATCCTATCCAGTTCATGCAAAACATTGCATTTAATTCAAGTAGGATTACGTAAAATGGGTCAAAATAAGGAAGAAAGTGACTTTTCAATAGAAACGAAATAAAAATACAGAAGAAAGTGATTTTTCAATAAAAATTAAATAAACTGTTTTTGCAGTCGTGAGGGTCCAAATTCATACACAGCATTTACTGACAGGCAGCCAGAGCACAAACCGCAGATTGTGTTAATATTACTGGACTACGTGGTGTTATACCCCAGGCGTCCATAATCCACATTCAATGTCACGAACATCAAAAGTATCATACAGCATTAACTTGTTCACCAACAACCTATAATTTCGATCAATTGCTAGACCTATCTAATTTCTATAGTCGTAAACATATACTAAACGTTTAATATGAAACAAACTCTATGAAGGAATGCAAAAAGTTGTTGATAACCTGTACTTTTTAACCTTCTTTCGACTACTTCCGAATAGACCTGCACAGCACACAGGTAACATAGGGTAATAAGTAAACTGAAGTTCATTTGTTATGTGGTACAAACAACATATACAAAAGTTATCTCTTAATGGACCCAATAATCCATACTATCATTAACCGGTTATATATATTGGGCATATTTCTCCTGCTCCAATAGCAATCAACAGCCGGCGACTATAAAAGAATTATGCTTACCTTCTTCGTTCGGATCGCCCCATACTATTCTTCGTAGCAGAAAACACCCGTATGAATGCTGATGAGTATTTAAATATTACGGTAAATACATATGTATGCTACAAGTCGTTAAGCACACATAACTCGACATACAACCACTCCATACCACAATGGCAGGAAAAAGAAATTTGTACTACTTTCTACGATTTCTCAATATTCCTACGCTCAGCACATAAAGAAATCACTATTACACCAGTTATAACTGCATCGATTAAGAATACAGGTTGTAACGAATATTTTTTCCATCTTTCTAATTTAAATTCCTGTCATATTTCTTATTATGAATATCTCCCGCAACGCACTACTTTTCATACGGTACGAGCATTAAGAATCTGATTGGTTGGACAGCATAACGTCGGCAATCAATACATGCTGCCACCCCCTGAATTGACTTCCACGCAAAGATAAACAATCACTGAGAATAAAAAACCTGTGACTAAATACAGAATTACTTTCAATTTGTTCTCCGTGGAAGGCTGTGTTTACAGTATAGGCTTTCAGTAATGATCGACTTTAGAATGAAAAGAGACTGCTCCGTAACAATTATTGTTTTAATTTAATGTATAATTAATGTCCTCATGTATTTTAGAAGTGGGAAAAAATATACATATTACTAAAGCAATCTTATTTGGTTCTTTAGCATACAAATGGGCGCCAGCAAGACTCCATGGCTCTAGCCACTCCAGTAATATTGCTTGATCCTGAACTAGCAGTCTTGAGGAGTTTTACAATGGCAGTATGTACAAAAGTTGTCATGCAGCCTTTTTAGATACTAAGAATATACTTTCGTGCTGCCCTCACATCCAAATATAAGAAACTTAAGAAGAGCTAACTTGTTCTATGCTTCTTTTACACCAAACAGGCCCATACAACAAAAAAGTTTGGGAAATATTACTGTATGAATTTATTTCATTTACAGTTTAATGACACTTTCAGTATCTCAGACAATATAGTATCAAATTACTTTATGACAAAGGTGTTAGTTGAAAGGTCCCACCCTTGGTGTTTGAGTGTTTAAAATTTGGCATATGATGCCACCTTTATGACTTTTATCAATGCTATAAGAACTTTGGACATTTCTCCAGCTCTACAACAAATTGTTTTTCTCTCCCAAATGGGAGGAATCTGAATTCACATTGGGACAGGAAATGAATATAAACTTTTGGTTGGAAGACTATGGCATAAATGTTAGGACAATGTAATATTGGAGCTAAGGGAAATAGGTTGTAAGGATGGAAATGGATTTCAATTCAGCTTTTATGAGCAGAGTAATAACCTTTGGATCCCAGAACTCCTCAATAACCACAATTAACATCAACTGCTGCAGGCAGATTCTCTATGATATGTTACTTAAATTACTAGTTTCTTTCTTAACTGGCACATATTTATTTAGGTAGATGGTTACTTAATGTTAGTTAAGGTATTAAATGGTAGGAGTCATGAGAACAAATTCCTTCACACTGCAGCCTCAACATGCTGGTGATGAGGGTGGTGACAGATGAGTATGAAATATTGATGGAATTATGCGTGGTAGGGAAGACCAAAGTTCTCATTGAAAAACCTGCCCAATTCCACTTGGCTTACTACAAATTATCATGGACTGCCTGGGATTGAACCTGGGTCTCAATGACGCAAAGCAAGTGACTGTGCTCTATGGTACACCCTCAAGCAGTCAGTTTAGTAGTTAGGGAGTGATTATTTTGTAACCACTTAGATATTCGATATCTTTGAACACTTAATTTCAGCAAGTATTCACTTCCAGCCAACATTTTTTAATATAAACCTAACATGTTTACCTTTACACAATTTATATTGTGTATTAAAGCATTCTGGGTAACAAAATCACAATCACAAAATATTCTGCATAACACAATAATTTATTTATAGTATTACTATAGCACCTACAGTTTGTAATCTCAAAAATATATAGAAAGAAAGATTATCACAACATACACAGTGTGGCTTAAAGGGCACATATCACAGGTAGTTCACTTGGAAGAATTTTCTAGCTATTGTGATTTGTACTGAAGACAATTATGCTGAAGAAGGGCTGTCCATACAAGTACCCTTTAAGCACACACTGCAGCATGAAATGCTCACATAAGTCATTGCCAGTAGAAGGCATTGACTTCTCAAGTCACTTCATGCAACCAAATTTCAAGAACATGACTTCACTCTGCATTTTGACACTCAACTGTCTGATCATGATCCTGTAGCCCTTGCATTAACTTCTACAAATGTGAACTTAAAGCATTAGAACAGTGATTCCCAAAATATTCCAGAGATACAAGTCTCTAAGGTCAGGTTTTCCATTAAAATTACATATTTGAAAGACATAATATTGTCTATTCTCACATGCATCACTTCACACACTTGGAAAACATGAAACAAAACTTGAAGCTTTCATGGCAACTGAACTCAATAAAATCTGGAAAATTTCTTCAATTTTATTTCCTTTCTCTTTATATTTTGCACATCATCCATAATTTGTTCTTTTTTGTATCTTTCAGTTTGTGGTTCCAACAGTAATCTGGGGAAGGTCTGCAGCAAAAAATGTGATGAATTTTTTAAAAATTCTGTCTGGTCTATAAGTTGTGTCAAGAAAAGTCTATCTGCTGGGAACTGTATTCCAGTCATCCAGCCTGTAACCAGCTATATTACTGAATGACTAAACTAGTTCACAATTTTTAAACATTTCTACTTGTACAATAACGCATATTATCATTCCAAGCAAAAGAAGCTAGTAGGTTTTGTGTAATAATCGTTGTTATTCTTCTTTCAACTACTAAAACAGAAGCTAACAATTTTTCAACAAGTGACACTATTCTGTAACTGCAAGAATCATTTTTTTTACCTGAGTAATATGAGCTCTAGTACATGAAAAAGAATATCCTATTAGGATCTGCTGTTTCAGGAATTTATACTACCACTTCTAAGTTTAAAGTGTACATACCTAACATGTTTCACCCTATTATTAATGTTTGTACAACAAATTATTAAACAAATAGAGAATTTCCGTGTTGATCTGCAGATATGATATGCTAATGTATGAACAAGATGGCAAAAACAAAGATGACTGTACAAACTCATTTTTCTGTAAGTATGCAAGGTCCTTTTCTCCTATATATAATATATGAAAACTGAAAAGTATGGCACAAGAAAGTTGTAAATCCATGAAAACTATAATGTAAATAAAACATTTTGTTGCTGGTTCATTCAACAAACAAATGGAACAAAATTTACATGAATTCAGTCTTACATAGCATCTTCAAATGTGGTTTTAACAAAAATTTGTACAAATTATTCACTTTATACTTGTTTATAAAAGATACTGGCATGCTCTTCTTTCCTTCAAATGTAATTCACTTACATATAGCTGGTTTATGTATAAAAAAGTGTATACAATATTATTGTAACAATGAAACACCTGGAAATTAAAAACAGATAAACATTTCAAATTGATTGTTCACAAGTATATACTGTTTTCAAATTCCTGATTTACAGCTTATTATTATTACCGCTGGCATCTAATGAAGATGGAGCTATTCTGTTTTAAAAATATTCATAACTTATAGTTGGGCTGCATGATCATGTTCCAACAGTTTAGTTAGTCTTGACACTCATAATATATATTTAAATATATGTGTAATATCTGATAACTATTGTATTAAAATGTCACAGCTAGATAATAATATGCATGAAAACTTGTATGAACAAAAGAACATAAAATATACCTCACTAACAACTTCATTTATACAATATCTGCAAAAAAGTTAAGCATTAAATACTTTTTGGCACACAAGCATGTTGTACATATGCAAATATCCTGATGACATTAGAGTAAAGAATAAAAATAAAAATATTTACTGGAATATGGAAAAACTTTTGGTTTTTAATGACTATCAATAGACAGTGAGTACCATATTGTTTGAAGTGCTGAGTGAAAACAGAAATACCTGTCACAAAAAGAGGGGGAAGGGGACAGTTTTAATTCAGTAGTTTTGGTGTAAAATAAGTATGAATAATGAATATACAATTAGCATCATGTGTTGAGATTGCAGTGTCTTTGCAGTCACGGAACAATTCTTCAACTTTTCATGAACTCACAGGCTACAATGAAACTAACTGAAGGTTTATGATTTCCCAAATGCACACTTGTGATTTTTCATATCTCACTGGCCTTGAAGTTTATTTATTGCTGATGTAAATGTTGCAGTCAGAAAATTAAAATTCAATATCCATAATTAAATGTGTAATCCCACTGGTTTAATTATTTGATAGGCCATTTACTGTACTTCAAAACTCTCTTTTGGGTACTATGTCCTACCATCATTCATACAATGTAAAATTATATCTTAAATTAATCTTGTATGTGTATCATATCAATCTTTATCACACAAGAAAAGATGACTTAAACCCCTGTATTATAGGGTTGCTGGTCAGATTTTAACTCCATGGTCAACAGTTTAGCAGTATGCTACTGTAACACACAACCATGTGGACTTCATATAGGACACAGTACAAAGACAAAAAAGGTTAATTTTCAAATCTTGAAATCTGCTTAATTAAACAGCAAATATAAATGCACTACTTCAAAGTGATTAACACCATATAAAGTCACGATTTTTTCCTTATATATCGTCAAATATTCAACATATTGAAAAAGTTTCAAATAAAAGTTTTAAACATCAGATATATATTTGATGTCATGTGTAAATTGTCAGTACAAAGAGTCATTTCTGAGAAAATCAGTCTGAGTTTAATATAAAGTAGCCTTTTTATTTGAACAATATGAAAAATAATTATATTAATTTCACAACTTTTAGTGTAGACCAGATGTTTTTTACAGTTAGCTAACTGCTTGCTCTATATTAAAAATGTGCTTTGTGTGGCTGATTAATTTAGTTCTGTTTTATTAACTTTCTGGCATGGTTATGAAATACACATTGTTTTATAAGTTTTAAAAGTTTGTAGGATTTCCTTTCAATGTTACAAGCAAAAATATTATTAATATTTTTAAGTGTTCTTTTCATAAGTGAATATGTACAGAGGAAGCCATGCTCATCTGTCCATCCATGTTTCATCTCTGAAATTACTGAATGGAATTTGGCACTGGGGAGATCCATGCTAATGGCAGTCATGTAATTTTAATTTTTCTCAATATCATACCAATATAACTGCTACTTCACACAATGCTCAAATTGAAGTTACTCATTTTCTCACAAAGTGACTCACTGTACAAAAAACTGGACCATGACATAAAATACAGACATCATAAATATTTACAACTTCTGTTTGAAACATTTTTGAATATGGCAAATATTTAATGAAGTATGAGGAAATATAATTACTGACTTGTGTAGTTTGTTATGTCGGGTGATTCACTCTGCAACAACAAAATTATTCTTGTAACAATTAAACATCAGCACCAATGAGGTATGCAGAACATTCACAGATACATTTTGAAAATATAACTACTCAATTGGAGTTCCGTCACTCCACTCTTCGTTTGTCACAGTTTCACTAGGAACAAACATGGAACAATTTGATGTAACTCAGAAGCCTGTGGAACTAGATAACATTCATAACTATAAACAAACTATAAGAACTAAGTGTGTAATATGTATTAATGACAAGATGAGTCAGTTAAATTACAGTATTTGGATCAATACTAAACCAAAAATTCAAAAGAAAACTTCAGTATAAAAGAGGTCATTTAAAGTAAAGGTTACTTTAAAGTTCCAGAACGGACATGGCTGTTACTGAACTTGCAAAAGTTAATTCATCTAGCCAACTCAGACACCAACAATTTTGAATATATTTTTAACTTTAACAAATATATATTAATACAGTATCAAAATCTACATATTTGACATACATTTAATGTTGCTTCCATGAATTAAGTTTCTCTGATGCAAAAACAACTGCAACACCTGAAATGGCACAGTACCCACTTTAAAATCCTGGAACAATGTACAGTGGTGCCAAGGACTAGGAAGGAAGCAGATGTATCATTGTAGGGTTTGGAAGGAACAGAGGTCCTTCTTCAGTCCTGATACTATTACAGACATGAACGCTACAGACAGTGACTGACCAATTTTCAAGAAATTCAGTGTGAAGGTCATCATATTAGAGAATATCCCATCTTCATTCTTTTTAACACTCTGTTATAAATAATTCCAAAATTCAACCCATACAAACTTGTAATATAAGAACAATACTTTTGCTATTAAAGAAGCATTCAGTGTACCGTCCAGACAGTGGTATGTGCAGAATTTGGGCTACATCTGTTCCTTAGACAGAAGCAAGACAAA